CGTGAACAGAACTGTTTCTTTTATCTCTTCATCACTGATCAGCTCGTAGCTCTATATAATACAGGCGTGAACAGAACTCGTTTCTTTTATATCTTCACCACTGATCAGCTCAGAGTTTTATGATACAGGCGTGAACAGAACTGTTTCTTTTATATCTTCACCACTGATCAGCTCGTGGCTCTATGATACAAGCGGAACAGAACTGTTTCTTTTATATCTTCACCACTGATCAGCCTGTAGCTCTATATGATACAGGCGTGAACAGGAACTGTTTCTTTTATCTCTTCATCACTGATCAGCTCGTAGCTCTATATGATACAGGCGTGAACAGAACTGTTTTTTATATCTTCACCACTGATCAGCTCATAGCTCTATATGATAAACAGGCGCGAACAGAACTGTTTCTTTTATATCTTCACCACTGATCAGCTCGTAGCTCTATATGATACAAGCGCAACAGAACTGTTTCTTTTATCTCTTCATCACTGATCAGCTCGTAGCTCTATATAATACAGGCGTGAACAGTTCTATACTTTACCATTGATCAGCTGGTTAGTCGCTTGGGCGATCATCACGTCTGTTACACACTTCACTCAATTGATTGTAATACTTAACTAATCATGTTTTAACACTTGTGATGAAGGTTTGGTGAGTTGAGTGGCTGTTTACACTAAAAACTAGTTTCCTGTACAGTATAGTCTTCATTTATGCGGTCAATTGAACACGTGGAGGTCCTCGTAAAACGAGAAACGTGACAGCCAGGTGGGGGAGGTGGGTTGCTGACAGCCAGGTGGGGGAGGTGGGTTGTTGACACAGCCAGGAGGGAGGAGGCTGTTGACAGCCAGGAGGGAGGTGGGTTGTTGACAGTCAGGAGGGGAGGTGGGTTGTTGACACAGCCAGGAGGGAGGTGGGTTGTTGACAGCCAGGAGGAGGTGGGTTGTTGACACAGCCAGGAGGAGGAGGGCTGTTGACAGCCAGGAGGGGAGGTGGGTTGTTGACAGCCAGGAGGGGAGGTGGGTTGTTGACACAGCCAGGAGGGAGGTGGGTTGTTGACAGCCAGGAGGTGGAGTTGTTGACACAGCCAGGGGGGAGGAGCTGTTGACAGCCAGGAGAGGTGGGTTGTTGACAGTCAGGAGGGGGAGGTGGGTTGTTGACAGCCAGGAGGGGAGGTGGATTGTTGACAGCCAGGAGGAGGTAGGTGGGTTGTTGACAGTAAGGAGGGAGGTGGGTTGTTGAGCCAGGAGGGAGGTGGGTTGTTGACAGCCAGAAGGGAGTGGATTGTTGACAGCCAGGAGGGGAGGTGGGTTGTTGACAGCCAGGAGGGGGTGGGTTGTTGACACAGCCAGGAGGGGAGGAGGGCTGTTGACAGCCAGGAGGAGGGGTTGTTGACAGTCAGGAGGGGGAGGTGGGTTGTTGACAGTCAGGAGGAGGTGGGTTGTTGACAGCCAGGAGGGGGTGGGTTGTTGACACAGCCAGGAGGGGGAGGAGGGCTGTTGACAGCCAGGAGGGGGGTGGGTTGTTGACAGGAGGGGGAGGTGGGGAGGTGGGTTGTTGAGGGGAGGTGGGTTGTTGACAGCCAGGAGGGGAGGTGGGTTGTTGACAGCCAGGGAGGTTGTTAACAGCCAGGAGGGGGAGGCTGTTGACAGCCAGGAGGGAGGTGGGTTGTTGACAGTCAGGGGGAGGTGGGTTGTTGACAGCCAGGAGGGAGGTGGATTGTTGACAGCCAGGAGGTTGGGTTGTTGACAGTGGAGGGAGGTGGGTTGTTGACAGCCAGGAGAGTGGTTGTTGCCAGGAGGGGGAGGTGGATTGTTGACAGCCAGAGGGGGAGGTGGGGTTGTTGACAACCAGGAGGGGGGTGGGTTGTTGACAGCCAGGAGGAGGAGGGCTGTTGACAGCCAGGAGGGAGGTGGGTTGTTGACAGTCAGGAGGGGTGGGTTGTTGACAGTCAGGAGGGGGAGGTGGGTTGTTGACAGCCAGGAGAAGTGGGTTGTTGACACAGCTAGGAGGGGGGAGGAGGGCTGTTGACAGCCAGGAGGGGGTTGGAGGGGGGGAGGTGGGTTGTTGACAGTAGGACGGGAGGTGGGTTGTTGACAGCCAGGAGGGAGGTGGGTTGTTGACAGCCAGGAGGGAGGTGGGTTGTTAACAGCCAGGAGGGAGGAAGGCTGTTGACAGCCAGGAGGGAGGTGGGTTGTTGACAGTCAGGAGGGAGGTGGGTTGTTGACAGCCAGGAGGGGGAGGTGGGGTTGTTGACACCAGGAGGGGAGGTGGGTTGTTGACAGCCAGGAGGGGGAGGTGAGTTGGTGACAGTTGTTGACAGCCAGGAGGGGGAGGTGGGTTGTTGACAGCCAGGAGTGGGGTTGACAGTATGGGTTGTTGACAGCCAGGAGGAGGTGGGTTGTTGACAGCCAGGTGGGGAGGTGGGTTGTTGACAGCTAGGAGGAGGGAGGGGGTGGGTTGTTGACAGCCAGGAGGAGGAGGTGGGTTGTTGACAGCCAGGAAGGAGAGGGAGGGGTTGCTTACAGCCAGGAGGAGAGTGGGAGGAGTTGTTGACAGCCAGGAGGGAGAGTGAGTTGTTGACAGCCAGGAGGGGAAAATGGGAGGTGAGTTGTTGACAGCCAGGATGGAGGTGGGGAGTTGACAGCCAGGATGGAGAGTGGGTTGCTGACAGCCAGGAGGAGAAGTGGGTTGTTGACAGCCAGGAGGGGAGTTGTTGACAGCCAGGATGGGAGGTGGGTTGTTGACAGCCAGGAGGTGGGTGGGTTAACAGCCAGGAGGGAGCTGGGTTGTTGACAGTCAGGAGGGGAGGTAGGTTGTTGACAGCCAGGAGGAGGTGGGGTGTTGACAGCCAGGAGGGGAGGGCGGTGGGTTGTTGACAGCCAGGAGGGGGGGGGTTGTTGACAGCCAGGTGGGAGTGGGGTTGTTGACTGCCAGGAGGGGGTGGATTGTTGACAGCCAGGAGGGAGAAGTGGGTTGTTGACAGCCAGGAGGGGAGGTGGGTTGTTAACAGCCAGGAGGGTGGAGGTGGGTTGTTGACAGCCAGGAGGGTGGAGTTGGGTTGTTGACAGCCAGGAGGGGGGAGGTGGGTTGTTGACAGCCAGGAGGGGAGATTAATGCCTACTTCGTAGTTGTCAGGGGCTCAAGGATTATGAAAGGCAGAGGGTTTTTATTTGTTCACCTATAAGATGCCACTGACTTGACTTAGGAGAATATTACTTGCATTGTTGGAATTCTTGTAAGATAGCGATTAATTTGAGTAATGTACAGTAATTTATGATAATTTATGTGGTTGCAGTTTCAAAGCTTTGTGACATCACTAGTGTACAGTGATCCTTCGGTTAACGAGCGCCTAGGTTAACGAAATTTCGGTTAACGAATTACCTTCCATAAGATTCTTCACTTCGGTTAACGAGCAAACCCTCGGTTAACCAATTCCTTACGAATCTTTCCCAACATGTTTTTGCCTGCATTTGGCTGCCCACCAGCTGTAGTATTAGTTCCGCCAATACAGTAATCGGTTTTAGGGCTTATTTTCCTTACCATTTTAGTAAATATCAAGAAGGTTGTACTATTCAATAATTTTAAAAGTTTTATATTTAATTTTTTAGTCATTTTAACAATTATTGAGCATAATTGAAGTAGAGGAAGCTAGTTTTTGTGTTTCCAGTCAAATTATTGGTCATTTTGAAGTATATTTTACATACTGACAATATATAATGCCGTGCAGTGTTGATTTAAAGAAAATAATCTTGAATTACACCAAGTGAACTAAAATTTTATGGGTGAAATGGTGGCATGGGGTGACTTCTCTTCCACCCCAATGTCTTCTCTTCTCCCTTCTCCTCCACCCCCATTCTAATTCCTATCATCATCAACCAGGAACCTTCTACATGCACACCTCAAAGTAAGTGTACTTTACTGCATTTATTTTTAGTTTGTATGTAATTTTCGGTGAGCTGGAACCAATTACCCAAAAACCCATTAAAACAATGGTTTCGGTTAACCTTTTAGAACGAATTGTGCTCGTTAACCGAGGGACCACCGTATAATGAGTCTCCATATGTCCTGATTTATTCACGGATCAGTTGTCTAAGTGTAAAACTAACCCTGTCGAGCTATCATGTATCAATTAATTTTAAAATATAAATTATAAAGTAAAATGTTATAAGGCAATGGTTTAGTAGTGCTGTTATTGTGTGTGATGTGTAAGTGTCATGGCATGTCACCTCACCACCTGACTCCTGAACAAACTCTTTATCAACTTCTTCAAATTCTACAATGTGCTTGGCAAGCTAAAACAAACACACACACACACACACACACACACACACACACACACACACACATGGGAATTAAGACAACAAGCATCCAGTGAGGGTCTTGTTGTGTGACTGCGTGGAGGCGAATTAAAAGATCAGTGTTGAGGAGCTTAGCGCTTGGCAACACCTACAAGGGGTCACAGCTGAAGGAAGAAGAAACAACAGGTCCAGAAAACTGTGAGGGGTAACTTTTTCGGAGTGAGAGTTATAAACTCTTGTAATAACCTGCCAGAGAGTGTTGTGATGGCACCGAGTGTGAGCTCTTTCAAGACAAGACTTGACGAACACTGGAGCAGGTTCAGATACATTCAGGAGCCGATGCATGCCCAGTACTTGCCAACAGTCCGTAACAGAGACGTGACCGATAGCCCAAGCGGCTAATGAGCCGATCAGTGGTAAAGAGGATGAAAGTAAAGTGAAAGTATTATGTTACGTGATACTGGGTCGCAACCACCATGATTTTTAGTTAACTACACATTGCAGAGGTTTAATTTGTGAACATACAGTACTGTAGTGTGAAGGAATGAAGATATAGAGAATGACTGAGAGAATGAAGGGAGAGTTAAGTGTTTGCTCCAGGCTTTGGTCACATTACCTCTTAGTGGAGAGAGTCTGGCAACAGTGAGCACAAACAGAGACATTTTGACTAATTATGAATATAACTTTTTGTTTCTTTACTTACAGAGACAATGTCCACACAGATATATTTGGAATGAACTTGTATCAAGAGTACGTAAGGAGACACCGGGGCAGTAAGAAGCGTGTTGCTATGCAGGGTGCACGAGGCCTTGATCTCTCCACTCATGATTTCAAGGGTCTTATGGCTGACCAGTGTTACTCTGTACTAGTTCAGGTATGTCTCTACTCATGCTCTCCATCACTATACTATACTATACAGTACTACATGAAAGTGATTCTCACTTATATGCGTGGGTGGTGTTGTAGGGTGTGTGTGGTTGGTTGTTGGAGGGTGTGTTTGTGTGTGATGTAAGGGTGTATATGTGATGTGTGGGTGGTGTTGGTTTGTGTTGACGGAAGTGAACCTTTTGGGGAGGGTAAGGGCGCATGGTCATCTCCCCCCCCCCTTCCTCACTCAAGCATGGCTAATTGTGATAAGAAGATGAATTTGATACCATAATGATCCTTAATAAATTCTCTACCAAATGTTTCCAATAAGATATCCATAAACAAAATATTTTTATATGATATAGTGATGGGAATTCCATTCTTTTATGAAAAAACGTAAAAAATGTTGATACTGGAGTCAGTAAAATCAGTTATAATTTCATTAGACGCACCATTTTTTTATCAAAATAATCATGAATGCAATGTCAGGTCACCCATTGTTGGGTGGGGGATTAGTTGGTCTTATGACCTGAAGATGTCTTGAATGACAAGTTTTACCTGAGGTATATACTATACTGTATTGTATATGAAAGGCACAGGTATTAATAAGCAGTGATTATTACAACAACGTATCTGTACTAATTAATAAAAAACAAATAAACAATATTATATCATGAATGAAGCAGTTTGCTGACAAACAATCAGTGATCAGTGCAGTCACATTCCAATGGACCCTTCTCCTTCTCCCTCCTGACCTCACAGGATTCATTATAAACTTCTATTTGTGTTAGAGAGATGAATTTGATACCATAATGAATCTGAATAAATTCTCTGAGACTTTTCCAATATGATATCCTTAAATGACAAGCTGAATAATAAGGTAATAATAAGTATTTTACTGTACAGTATATGAAGGATACTGATATTAATAAGCTCAAATTATTAGTTTATATCTCCAAGTCTCTATGTACAGAACTAAACAAAGAATTTATTTGATATACTGTACTCTAACATTCAATACCATAATATCCTGACCACTGGGGTTAGTTTGACTTTTCCCTGTGAAAAAGAAATAATTTTGAGCACCATATTACTGTACTCATTTTGTACTCAAATGTATTATGCAAAAATACTAAAAATTTTATCGTTTGTGCAAACTATGAACTATGAGATGTTTATACTCAAATTAATTGATAACTTGCAAGGATTCCAGCAATGCAAGTTATATTCTGTTAAGACAATTCTGACATTTTATAAGAAAGGAGAAATGGGAGGTTATTCGGCAGGCAAAAAATTTGCAAGTGTGCCAACACAGAGCCAGGGGGCAGCAGCGCACCCTCCACCCGCTCTACCCCCCACCCGGGAGGTGGCACCAGCTCCACCTACCAGCCAGGAGGAGGCGGCGAGCGCCATGTAAACAATGACATTTCTAACCACACCCTGCAAAATACAGTGTACTTAGCAAATGCTGCAGCTTCTGAGAATGGGGGGGGGGGGCAGAGTTACTACTAAGAGCAGAGACGTTACCGAAAACAAATTCTGGCTTGATTGTCATGTACAGTACAGTAATACAGTGGTCCCTCGGTTAACGAACGGTTCGATTAACGAAATTCCTGTTAACGAATTACCTCCCATAAGGATCTTCAATTCGATTAATGAACAAAACTTCGACTAACGAAATCCTAAGAACAAACACGTTTTGTTGTGAGCATCAGCTGATCAGCTGATGGGTTAGCTGGCCAATTCAGTAATTTGTTCTATGTTTACATTCGTTTCCAGTGGAGTAAATATCAAGAAAGTTGTACTCTTTAATATTTGTGCATTTTTTATATTAAAATTATTAGTCATTTTAAAATTCAGTTAACATATTGATAATATATGCAGTACAAGGAACTAGTTTTTTGTGCGCCCATCAGCCGCTTGGCTCACCCACCAAGTGTCAGTTTAGCTTTGTTTACAGTGGAGTGAACATCAATTTTGTTGGTGTCTTGAATATTTTTGCATTTTTACATTAAAATTATTGGTCATTCTGAAATTTAGTTAACATATTGATAATATATATCGCAGTGCAGTGTTGATTTAAGTAAAATAATCTTGAATTACACCTAGTGAACTTAAAATTTTATTGGAGAAATTACTGCATCAAGCATGGGTCCCATGAAAGGTGATTTCTCCTCCATCCCCACTTCCTTCTCTTCTCCCTTCTCCTCCACCCCCACTTCTAATTCCCATCATCATCAACCAGGAACCTTCTACATACACACCTCAAAGTTAGTGTACTTTACTGCATTTTTTGTTTTACTTTGTATGTACTTTTCTGTGAGCTGGAACCAATTACCCAATATCCTATTGAACAATGGATTCGATTAACAAAATTTTCGGTTAACGAACGAATCTGTGGAATGAATTGTGTTCATTAACCGAGGGACCACTGTATACAGAACAACCATTAACATCACGCAATACTTCATTCACTAATCTCTGAAAACAACTTCCATTCTTCCTTAATGCAAATGGTAACACTTTATATTGATACAGTCCATCCATTGTAACAAAAGCCGAGATTGCTTTCGCTCTCTCAGTCAAACCCACCTGCCAAAACCCTTTCAGCATATCAAATTTACTCACAAATCTAGCATCTCCAACCTGGTCAATACAATCATCAATCCTAGGAATAGGATAAGAATCAGTTTTAGCTATATTATTTATCTTTCTATAACCTGTGCAAAATCTATAGGAAACACCATCAGTCCATCAGGCTTAAGAACTAGAACACAAGGCGAATTCCATGGACTGTTACTGGGTTCAATCAAGTCATTCTCAAGCATATATTCAATTTCTTTCTTCATAATTTCTCTCTTCCTCGTATTTACTCTGTATGGATGTTGCTTAATAGGGGATACACTCTCTACCTCTATATTGTGAGTTACAACATTAGTTCTCCTGGGAGCATCAGAAAACAAGGATCTATATTCATTAACAATATCTATAATTTCACATTTTTTATCATGGTCTAGGTGATCAAGCTTATTCTCTAACATACTTAACACAACAGAGTTCTTCAGAATTTTATCCTCACTGCTACTAAACTTTACATCGTCATGTTCATCAAACGCCTCATCTCCCAACTCTACACATCCACAATTCACTTGATTGTTCACCTCACTCTGGTTTTCATTCTCTATATTTCCTTCATAATATGGCTTCATCAAAGTAATATGGCATACCTGTAATTGATTTTTTTTGCTTCTGCCTGGAGTGTTTACTACATAATTCACATCGCTCAATTTCTTTTCAACTACCCATGGGCCACTGAATCTTGCTTTTAATGGATTTCCTTGCAATGGTAGCAACACTAATACTTTTCACCAGGTCTAAATTCCCTTGACCTTGCATCTTTGCCATACCACAATTTCATCTCCTCCTGTGATTCTTTCAAATTTTCCGCGGCCAGTTCACGTGCTCTTAACAACCTATCTTTAAATTCTGAAACATATTTCAATAGACATGGAGGGTTTTCACTCCCAAGCCATTTCTCCTTGAGGATACTAAGAGGCTCCCTCACATCATGTCCATACACCAACTCAAATGGGTTGAAACCTACTGACTCCTGCACAGCATCTCTTAAGGCAAACAAAGCTAATTGGACACCCTCATCCCAATCTATTCCCAATTCCTCACAATAAATCCTTATGGTGTTCTTAAGTGTCTGATGAAATCTTTCCAAACATCCCTATGACTGAGGATGATAAGCACTTGACAATTTCTGATTAATGTGTAAACCCCTCAAAATTTTCTTGAACATAATTGAAGTAAAATTACTTCCCTGGTCTGACTGAATAATTTCTGCCAATCCTATCCATGAAAAATACTTAATTAATTCTCTCACAATATTTTTAGTATGAATACTCCTTAAAGGAATTGTTCTGGGAACCTAGTTGAAGTACACATAATAGTTAACAAATAACTAGTTCCCTGCGTGTCTTTAGCAAAGGCCCAACACAATCTATCACAATTTTGCTAAATGGCTTACAGAAAGCAGGAATGGGTTTCAATGGTGCAGGATGAATAACTTGGTTTGGTTTTCCTACCCTTTGACATACAGAACAAGTTTTAAAAAAAGTAGCCACATCTTTCTTTAAATTTGGCCAATAAAAATGTGTCAGTATTCTGTCAGTGGTTTTCCTCGCTCCTAAATGTCCTGATAAACAAGATTAATGGGATAGCTATTATATCACTCCTGTACCTTCTAGGAACAACTATTTGCCTTTTCATTTCCCAATGATCAGATACTGGAACATTCAGAGGCCTCCACTTTCTCATTAGCACACCACCTTGAAAATACAATCCTACTGACTCATCACCAGATACTCCATTCCTTTCAGCTTCACTTTTAAATTCTCTTAAACTATCATCACATAACTGACATCTTATTAATTCTTCTTTATCAACAACAAAATCTGGATTAAAATCCACCTTCAACTCCACCTTGTCAGTATTTGTTACGTCCTCATTACATTTCCCATCTTCCATAAACAATTCATCTAAATTCATTTCATCAGCACAAATATCTTTATCCTTTACCCTTGTTATAACACAAGCTGGGAACACATCAGTTGCCACAGCCTCCCCTTTCACCACATCATCAGAATTTGTATGGATCACATCAGTTATAGGTACATTTACAATATTATGTACATCACACGCCAAAGGATTATCAATCATTATTGGTTCAGGGACCACCCTGTCACCTGCCAAGTCATTTCCCAGCAACATATCTACACCATGTACAGGTAATTCCTCACTTATACCTACTTTAACCTTACCACTTATAAATCCCGTCTCAATGTTAACATAATGTAAAGGTATGGTCAGTCCTGAGCCTAACCCTCTCAC